CTAATTAGATCATGAATTCAATGACATCAATCTAGGTAAACCTGATATAGAGTTATTTGAACATGGGATAACATGTTTTCTTCTATGAACTTTTTAGCTCTTTAATCACCCAAATATTGCAAATTTGCAATTTGATCGAATGATCAATATCATGTCATTGCCCTAGAGAAAAATTACTTCATACTACACTAAATGCAATGATTATTTAGATTGAATGATACCTCATGCACATAAAAAGATGCCACATGGAATCTAAGTGGAATGTAAAGCTGTTTTGTTCCATTCATAACAAGGTAGCCAATGACAATTGCCAACAATTTTGTAGATCATCCAAAGAAAAAAAAACATTTATACTAAACTATCAAGCATTACATTCATGTCCTAAATTCATCTTTTAGAGGGAGTTCGATAGCAACATATTACATATTTGAGAGGTAAGAATCTCTCAAGTGTCAAGTTAGTCTTTGTGTCCACAAGTGTTCAATGTGGGTAAGTCACCCTTTTTCGAAAATTCTATGTAACATATATCTAAACCTATTCAAATTAATTTTAGTTTATCATGTGTAGGGGTGGATTCGAGCCGAGCCAAATAGTATAAGGCTCGAGCTCGGTTCGAGCTAGAACCTTGAGCTCGAGCTCGATTTGAGAAAAAATGTTTTATAAAAATAAAAATTATATAAAAAATATTTTTTATTTGATATTTAAAAAATTAAGAATTATTATATTTTTATTATATATATTATTTTCTATAGTTTTATTTCGAGCTTGGCTCAAAGCTCGGTTGAAACCAAGCCAATCTGAGCTCGAGTAGCTCGTGAAGAGCTTGGCTCATGGCCACCCCTAATCATGTGCAAAGATAAGTAGGTAATGTTTACAACTAGCATGAATAGCTTAATAGTTGATAAGATGGAATTGGGAATAAATGTACAAATACATTAATCTCCTTGAAAAAAGTCATTACCAAAGTTGTTCCCATCTATTAGGTATGACATTGGTAGGTCTCAAATCTAAACACTTAAAACCGACCAACCGTCATCCCTAGCCAAATCATTTAACATGAACAAAAAGTTGTAAAAAATGTACAAAGTTTAAGAAAACAAACTTTTATACCTATCTGTAGAGTAGAGCTTTGCAATATTCTCTTTCAAACTTGGCCGAAAAAAATAAAAAGCACCTATCCTTTCCATGCCTACATTCAATTCAGATAAAGTGGAAAAGTAATGATGCATCTCTTTATAACCAATTTGAAATTATAACATGATTTAACATTGTTACCAAAACCAAACACAATATATATTTTGAGTTAAACTTTATAGTTCAATGCCATCGTTAAAAAACTAAATATATTCAAAATTACAATTAAATTGCAATTACAACTTCAAAATTATAAGTGGATTAGAGCATTAATACAAAATTGGTCTACCCAAAAGGTCTAAAAAGATATTGTTCCTGTTTGGCCTATAATATTAAAGAAGCTTAAATATACAATAAGCAAAAGAGCCACCACTACCATTATACATGTTGATTTGTGTGATAAATGTTATCCATCCACCTTTGCACCCAATTTAGTCAACACTTGTCTCCTCCTATATAATTGAGCCACTATTTTTCTTCAAATATATACTATTTACCTCTTCTCATTGTTCCATTACCATTGGATAATCAATATCTTGGTTATTGTCTTCATTGTAAGTGTTACACCATGAAAAAATACATTTTTTTTTAATTTGAACATATGTATTTGAAAAAAAAGGGAAAAAATATCAAAACAAATATGGTGGTAGCAATATAAGCAAATTACACTTTTAAGAACTTAATATGTTTACTTGAAAAAAAAATCAATAGTAGGGAAAATAAAATTTCATTACACCTAAAAACCACCCAATACAAAAGAAGTATAGCATATGCGGGTTATCTACTAACTTAGAGACCCGTATTATAGCTTTTCGGCCACATTTGCATATTTTATTCTTATATTTGAGGTAAGAACCTCTAGATGTTGAAGATTTGTTTGACGTCACACTCAACATGAGCAACTACAAATTTTGAAATGGGGCAACCCAACATTGGGAGTCTATCAGTTAATGTACAAAGAAATCATAGTAGAACCACCTTTATATAAGCAATTTCCGAAAATATAGCAACTCTTGTGTTGTAACCCTAAAAAATTATATTCAAGTTTGGGTTCACTCGTTTGGCCTTATGTTCCCAACTATATTAACACCTTTCAACCTAGCTTGAATCGATAAAGTTTCATGGCTGAAAGACGAAAGATGATAAAGAAAATAGTAGAGATTCTTTCAAACTTCCCCTTTTCTTGAGACAATGGAGTTTCAAACAAGGTTCTCATCTCTTTGAGTTGATATTGAAAAAGGATAAAGAGATTGAATGAGGGTTTTTGTCGAGTTTCAAATAAGGTTATTTCAATACAATTGTATGTAAAATAATTTACAAAATGGTATAATGGGTATTTGGAAAAAACTAATGCATTATCCTAATGTTTTTTGACTCGTCAGTGTCATAAGGGAGGTTTTTGTTGAGCTTTTCAAAAGTTAAGGGGAGGTGTTCATTAAACTAAAACTAAAGGGAAGGTTTTTATAATTGTCAGAAACTTCGGGGGAGTTTTTATCTTTTACCCTTATGGATATATATGCCATTTAATATAAATATTATATAAAAAAACTTAGGCCTAACTTGACCCATAATCACCCTAATAAATATCCACTAAAAAGAAAAAAAGTTTATTTAAGGATCAAAATGTATAAAATTTGAACAACAATGCGGTCCTCTCATTGCATACTTCACATGTACCTCCTCATTTTCTCCTTCCTCGCACATGGGATGAACTAATCTTATTCTCTATTTTTTATCAATTTAATGTAGATTTGTTTCATGGGTTATTTTGGTTCAACAAATTAAATCCCTATTTCCCTCTTAAACCTCTATGAATCATTTTTCGCTATCTCTAATCAAATAGGGGTGTAAATTAGATGGATATGGTTTTGGTTAAGGGTCAACCTAAATATGACTTTAGCTTGGAGCCAAACTAATGTCAAAACCTAAACGTGTAGGTGAATGGATCTTCTTCTTATATAAGAGTCTAAAAAGGCATTGCTCTTTTACATGAGTTATCGGGTTTTTATTAATTTAATGGAGATTTGTTTCATGGATTATTTTGGTTAATAATAAAATACAATAAGAAAACACATAACGTGAGCCTTTTGTTATCTTCATCAGTTCAATTTTGAATTTTTATTAACCTAGTTATTGATCTCATGCTAAGCACTTTTTTTTTTGCTTTATAGGGCTATACAAAAAGAGGGTCACCCATGCATCCCTAAACCCTTACCCCCAACCCCCATGGCCATGGGATTTGATTCCAAGTTTCTACTACAACTAGTTAGAGAACCTATCAATTGAGCCACTATCATCTAGTTGTCATGCTAAGTTGGTGGTTTATGTACTTCTTATAATATATAATCTATATAAAAGGAACAAATTTAAAATTTAGTAACTAAAAAAGAAAAGAAAGATATTGTTTATATTATTTTCTATGTAAAAAATAAAAATATATACAACAAAATAGAAATATATACAACAAAATATAAATATATAAAACTTTGGTGAATCACTATTACTACTTTTTTATCTTAAAAAATACATTTTTAAATAGCAATGCACGGGTCACCGCTAGTACATGCATACATACATAAAAGGTCTTCACCCACTTGAAGTTTTTCCTAAACTATCTCACATTTCAAACAAATCACCAAATATTTTATTCTAAATCTCTTTCTCCCTCCCCCTCTCTTTCTATCTTTCTTTCCCTCTCCACCTTCCAAATGTTAATTAAGTTGAAATAAATTTAAATATCAAAATAAGATAAGCAATAATAGTAAAATTATAATAATTAATAGTTAAATATAAAAGTCTTGTTGTAATTATAATTAATTATATAATCATAGAATGATTCATAGTTATTACCAATAAAAATGATAATTTTAAATCTATTTAAATTCCATTTAAAATTATAAAATATTAGCAAAAAACATTAACATTTACTAAAGTTGAATAAAATTTATCAATAAATTTGATTGTACTAATAAAATAACAAAATTTTATTAATCTAAACTCCATTTAATATATGTACATTGATAATGGTTTACAAATAACTCAAAACTTTTATTAATAATATTTTAAAAATAAATTATTAAAAATGTATTGATTTTAAAATCAACTTTCACTAATTTAAAATTCATTTAAATTATGTTTAAAAACAATAAAAAATAATACAAAAATTTAGTTAATGACAAAACTCATATTGGAATTATAGTCAAAATCCATTGGAATGGTATATTAGTTCTATTCCTTCCACTTGTTTGGTTCAAATGGGAATCAAAATCAATTAGAATGGATTTTCATCCCTAATGAAGGGGGAGGGTATAGTCATTCCCTCAAATGGGGGAATGCCGTTTCATCAAGAATGGAAATAGGATTTCGATTCTGCCTAGCCAAATAGTTGGACCATTCCAATTCCAAACCTTTATTCATGCGAACCAAACAGAAACTTTGCAGCAAAAAAATTTAATTCTTAAGCTGTGTTTGGTTTTCATGCAAATTTATTTACATTAGTGCAGAACTATGATAGTGAAAATGATTTGGGTTCAAATTCTGATTTCTTTTTGTTTTAAAATTTAACGTCATTCTGTTTGATTGCGGTACAGATGAAGTAAATTAATAACTTAAGTAGAATAAAATAAAACCCAAAACAAAATTAAATCAGAATTTGAATCATTTTTCATTTGCACTCCGGCTCCCATGCATTTTGTACTGAGGCATATAAATTGCAGTGCAAACCAAACGCAGCCTTAGTATTTTAAATCTTTTACGTGTGACGTGTCACATTTTCGGATGGAGGGTACGCTGATTATGCGCGCGTGAAGAGTACGCCGATTAGTGCCCGTTGTGGCGGCATACCCCGCGAAGTTGCAAGGGTGTGTTACGCCACCAGCGCTGGTTAGCAGATGCTAGCTTGTTTCTGGGTCCTTCCTCCTTCGGTCACTTTGCTCGTGCGTTAACCACAACAGCCGTATCGACGAAGAGGCATCTCCCTCTTTATCGATAGGGTTTTCGTTCGGGAAAGGCGGGTCTTCGATATGCTATCTAGGGTCTCGATCTACTTCATCTGCATGTTCATTAGGTTTCGTCTATTCTACTTGTGCGCCCGATCAAGGGTTCGTCGTTGAGGATTGCGAGCAATTGATCCGTTTTTTGTTGATTGTACAGGTAAGACTGGACTTTACAACTTGTAACAAGTTTCAATTTTTATGTGCAGATCGGATCTCTTTATGAAAACGAGAATGGCTTTTTTATTTTGGGTTAAGGGGATGATATCTAAGATCTGTTTCGAGAATGGAGATTTCCTCAATGCTGTAGGGTTTCTCGTGATTTTTAGTTTTTCCTCCCATCTATTTGTGTCTTATCCACAAAAGACGATTTTTATTGAAGAAAATGAAGAAAGATGCATATACGAAGGCTCATGAGTATATAGAGCATCGAAATGCAATTCTAGAGCGACCATCAAAGATTTGAATTCATTAAGGTTTTGTTTTTGTTTTTTGTTTTTAATCTCTCAAGGCGGTGTTGGTTTTTCCCTCTTCCTTTTTTCTGTCAATGGTGTTGGTATCTCGGGGAGGGGTTATATATGATAGCAGAGTTTGGCTTAGTTTGTAAAATAACAATTAAGTCCGGGAAAGGGTTTTATGCTGTAATATTCATTATCAGCTATGTATTTGATTGATAAAAACGCAGAATATTTGGTCCCTGGGGCGCTTGTGTGATGTCTCTTTTCATTTTGACTTTCAGGCATCAGATCTTTGTACATATTACTTATGCAAATTAATCTAGCAAGCTTCTTGGAGATTTGACAAAGAGATGCGAGGCTATAGTAGAGCTGTAAGCAGTTTGTTGATTTATGTTGAAGCCTACTAGTTTCTTGTGTTAAATATGAACCGTTAAGTGAAGGGTCAGTTGTTTAGATTGTCCCTTTTCCTCCCCTTAATATTGCTCTTTGTTATTATTGTTTTTATATTCTCTGTAGGAGCTGCATCAACATGATGAAGAATTTGGTGACTATGAAGAGGATGGGGAAGATCAAGAAGGAGAAGCAGAGGAAGAGTATGAAGAAGAGGAGGATCCAAAGCCTACCAAAGAAGAACTGGAATACCTAAAGTTAAGGCAAAAGCTAAAAGAATCCCTTAGAAAGAAGATTAAGAAGGAATCTAGTTCTGTTCCCACCCAGGTCCAAGAGAAGAAGAAACTTCCATATGACAAGTGAGCATTTTTTGACCATGCCATATTAATTCCTCTTAAATAACTTCTTAATTACCATCTTTCAGCAGCATGATGTAACCCCTTGCTGACTTCCATAGTATAATGGAGATATTAAGGAGGATGCTGCCCATATAATTAGAGCAGGATGGGCAAAATGAAGGGGTGCATTAAAACTTTAAAAGTCATATGTGATGGGAGTAGCACTTAGACAAAAAGGAAAACTTTATATAATAGTTATAAGGCCATAGGATAAAAAATGATCATATTTGAAAGAACCTAGGTGGATTTCCAATAGGTGATAAAATGAGGGAAAGTAGACTAAGATGGTTTGGTGACATGTGGGGAAGACCATCTATGGCATTAATGAGAACTGAGAAGAAATGGTCTGTTACAAGTTTAAGGCTTTAGAAGAGATAGGGACAGATGAAAAAAAAGTAATGGGTTATTTTATTCATAAAAAAGGTCATGGGTTGAAGTAGTGAGTAATGATTTATTTAAGGGACTAAAATTTAACAATAGATATGACACTAAGGCTGCATTTATTTTCAGTGTAGATACGGACTGGTGTAAAACTCCACTCCCGGTCTGTATTTTCATGCATTTGTTTTCAGTGTAAGTTTTACATAAAAAATTGATGTAATCCTCATGCACAATTGAGTTTTACATTGATAATCAATGTAAATACTACATCAATTTTATCTATGTAGTATTTACGTCGATCATCACACTTTTAAAAGTTCCAACGGTTTACTCATTTTAAACCCATCCGTGTTGAACTCCATCAATGTACTTTTACAGCGATGACAGTTTACACCAAAACAGTGATTTAAAAGGTGTGCCTGAGGCGTGCCTAGGCGCATTTTGGGGTATGCGCCTTGCCCAGGTCCTAGGCGCACCCCTTTCAAAAGGCACACGCCTGGTGCACCTAGGCGTGTGCCTGATGCACCTTGCGCCTCAGCCCAGGCGTGCGCCTTTTTAAAATTTTGTGCTTTTTTGCTGTTTTTTGAGTCTAACAGCTGGGCCAGGGGCTCCGCCTCCGGACCCCTAGCCACGCTCCTCGAGGCAAACCCGAACAAGTCTATGTTAGGCTCTGAAATTGTTATTTCTCACATAAAATATAATGATTTTATAACTTTCATTGCCTTTTAAGAAGATATTTTATTGTAATGAATGAATGAACAACAATAGCAAATAGGGGGCTCTCAACATAGACTTGTTTGGGCTTGCCTCGAGGGGCATGGTACAAAGGTGACTCAGAGAATCAAGAATGCAATATGTTTTATATCATATTAGCTACTTGAAGCAATGCAATTAAGGAAAAAAAGAGATTGTGGGTTTTGCATGCTTGAAAATGCTTTATATGTTTGCTTTTATTTTTAAATTTTCATTTGAATACGCTTTACATGTTACGTTTATGTATTTTAATTTTAGATAGTAGGTTTTTTAAAACATTTGTTTTAAAATTTAAGTTTATATTTTTTATTAACATTATGTTTAATATTTTTGATTTTTTTGATTTTTCTGACTTTTTTTGATTTTTAGTTTATTTTTTGTAATTTTGTGCCTTTCTTAGAAAGGCGTGCGCCTCGCCTTGTGCCTAAACAGAAGGGAATGGATGAAAAGGAATCATGTAGCTAACCACATATATTTAGGACAAGGCTTAGTTAAATTGAGTATTTAGCTACCTATATTGCCATATATTTTTAGACTGCTAGTAAGCAGGCCATAGCTGTTGCTGATGGCTTGATACATCCAGTTACATAAGTATATTTAATGGCGCAGGCTGGGTTCTTAGTCCACAAACTATATGATGACCTAGTGAATATGAATGTATATGAATCTAGGCCAAGATACAAGATAATTACTTATAAGTTATGCATTCAATGATCAAATGCCCTCCCCCCACCCTCACAAAAAAAAGAAGAAAAAACAAGGGCCTTTTTAAGTGGGAAAGTTGGAGGTTGTGGGCTTTCTTTATTGGTTTGTAGGTCTATTGGCATGTATGGATGCATGCTTCTGAGTTATCAGTATTTATGATCCATGCCTTGTTTTAGTGGTTACTGTTATTATGGTTTCAAGTTTTCTTATAGAAGTAAATAAATACCATGCTTTGATAGTTCAGGATTTTGGCTGGAAATGAATGCTTCATTATTTTATATGTTCGAGGAGGTTATTGAGCTGATTACATGGTTTTCATCTTTAAGTTTGCTCCTAGATTATGTCATCCTCATGTGGATTGTTTATTGCTATGCAGTTATGGATCCTTCTTTGGCCCTTCTCAGCCTGTTATTGCTCAAAGAGTAATACAAGAAAGCAAGTCAATACTAGAAAACCAGCATTTGGCATCAAGGTTTTCAAGTTTGCATCATGCTGTATGTCTCTCTCTCTCTCTGTATGTGTGCTAGGTGACAACTAACAAGTAATTTCATTAGTAGTGCAGAAATAAAAATTACATTTCATCCAATTGAACCTAGTATCCCATGGTATGAGGATATGTATCAAGTACAATATATACAAAAGCCTAAACCCCACATTAACTCACAAATAAAACACAACACAACAAAACAAAATAAAATAAAGGGCCAAGGGTCATTACCCAACGTTGCCCCCAGCTATTTGGAGTTGTGGGAGGCATGGGCTGGATATTGGCATTTTCGTGCATGAAGTGGCTGCTTGCAGATTTCAATCTGTGTTGTCATACTTGTTAACCTGAGAATTTGCCAGTGTATTAACTGATGGCCTCTAAATAAAATAAAACATTAGTCTCTCATAATCTCATTTAATTGATTCTTGATTTCAATCCTGGATGTATCTTTGATTTTTTGAACCAAAGCACAAATTGAAGCATGAGAGTAAATATCCTTGATATATGATATCTACCATTAACTTTTGTGTTTAGATGAATTGTTGTATCATCATCATCTGCACATTTTATCCCTCCATTACAGGTTGATAAATGCACATGTAGGTAAGAATCCTAATTTTGATAGGTATAGCTAGGAAATCTTGTGTTACAAAACTGATAAAAAAAATCTTGTGTTACAAAAAAATTATCCAATTAACTGTTTACCATTGGTTGCGAGATGCATATTTACGTAGGGACCTTACATTTGATGGGTACGGCTAGGAGCTCTCCTATTACCCAAAATATACCCATTCAAATGTTTCTTACCGTCCAAATATTTTGGAGTCTATTGTGATGAGAAATCCAGCAAGGAAAATGATCGAGTAGCTTGGACCTAGATACTGTAATAGGTAGTAGCACCAACTAGCCTAAATATGTTCTGATGGCAGGAGGATGTGAAACTCCTTTAAGGCCCTGTTTGTTTACAAATTTCTCACTTGCCCAGGTAAATGTTTTCTGGGTAACACTTACCTGGACCTGGGTAAGTTCACTTACCCATGTTCTTTTGATTCCCAGGTAAGTAATTTAATGACCTTTTTACCCATAAAATGCTAATGTTAACAAGGGCAAACTTGTCCTATTATGTTTTATAAACTTTTTCCCAGGTGGGAAAGTTACTTACCCACCTGGGAGATGGGCAAGTTTTACCCAGGTAAATGAAGCCCTCTTTACCTGGGGCCCAGTACTTAATGCAAAAAGAACATTGTAAAGTTGGTCAATGGGAAAGAGATACCCATTGACCAACTTTCCCCCTCTTATTTATCGCTAAATGAATGGGGCCTAAGTATTATATGCTTGTATTCCCCATTTATTTGCATCTGTCACTTGATAATTTTACTTGTCTTCACAGGCACAGAACAAAAAGAGCCCAACTCCAACTGCTTCAGGAACTAAGCCTGCTGTACGTGAAGAACCGCCAAAAATTGTTAGTGAGGTAAAAAGACTCCATTTTTGGATAAGTTATTCAGTAGCCTTGTGAAATGCATGTAATGAGTTCTAATGAATGCTGTGGATTGCCTATTCTGTAGTTACAAAAGAAAGTGCAGAAGCTCAAGGATACACGGGATTATTCTTTTCTGTTGTCTGACGATGCAGAATTCCCTGCTCCTACAAAAGAACCTCCGCCCCGCAATGTTTCTGTCCCAGGTTCTGGTGCACTCGTGCTCTATTCAATCACATCTAGTTGTTGGTCTAGGCCATATACATAGTATTTTTATTAAGGAAACTTATACAGGTTTTTGCTGATGTCGAAGATGCCCGATCAACTCAAGTGCCGTTGAAGAGCAAGCAGTTAGTGAACAAGCCTAGCAGGCCAGTTTCCAATGGTCATGAAGAGAGAAAACCTGTTTCTATGAACCACAAAATGCCACCAAAAGCAGGAGTCCAGAAGGTGGCTCCTCCAAGTAGGCCAAAATCGACATCTACTGATCCTAGAAGAGAGCTTGGTAGCAACTCTGGAAATGGGCCTGGCCGGCCAGTGGGGCCAAAGGGCTTGCCGTCTAAGATGCCTGTTCCTACTGTGGAGAAGAAGGCTTCTGCAGTAGGTGCAAAAAGTTCCCAGTCTGGTGTGCAGAAAGCTCCATTACCAAAGTTGCATCCACCTGTACAAAAGCAACATTCAGAACAGAAATTCCGGGAACCAGAAAGGAATAAAGTAATAACAAAACAACCAGTTTCTTCAAAACCTCAGGTTTACATCTCCTCTCTCTCTCTCTCTCTCTCTGCCTAGCATTTACTTTCTTCTACTAAATTCTACAGATTAAGGCCCCTAAGCAAATTCCAGTGCGTGCAAGCATGCAAGAGCAACGCCCAAAAAAGAAACCTGTGAAGCGATACTCTGACGAAGAAGATGAAGATGAGGGTGATCAGGCTATCAGCATGATTCGAAAAATGTTTGGGTGAGTCTTTCTTAAGTTTTTTTTTTTTTCCTTTTCTGCTAATGCATACACTAGTGCAGTTGCGATGCATTTATAATTTAACAATCTGCTGGAGTTATTTTCAGTGCTGATATGAAGTTATTCTACATTTAGATGTAGTTAGAAAAATGTTTGAGCAAGTCTTTCTTATGTTTCCTTTTTTGTATTTTCTGTTAATGCATACACTAGTGAGGTTGCAATGAGTGCATTTATAATTTAACAATCTGCTGGAGTTATTTTCTGTGCTGATATGTGCTCTAAATTTAGATGTAGCTCAACAACATATAGGTTTTTAACTTTTTATTTTGTTTAATCCTATTTTTTTTCCTTTTGGGGTTGTGGTGGTGTTTGGAGATGTTAAATGTCTTCAATGCTATTAATTTTTGAGAAACTGCAGCATTTAGTAATGGTGCAACAAATCTGTTCTTAAATGGAGCTGTAACTGCATTTGTTCAAAATTCGTAAACCGTGCACTGCTCCTGACTCAAATTTGCCAGTTAATAAGTAGCATCTTCATTGTTGCATGCATGCACTTTTTTTTTTTTGAACCAGAAATGAAAAGAAAGTGATTGAGCACGTTTGCTTAGGCCAGTTCCTTGCAATCTTGGATTGGTAACTTAAAGCCCACAAGGAAAACATACATATGAAACAAACCCTTGTGGGATTTCTGGGCGTCTAAAGATTTAAGGATTTTATGGTCAAATGGTTGGTTTTACAGTGGAAAGTAAAATGTACATATGAAACAGATTGAATGCTTGTGAAACTAACGCAATGCCAACAAACCCTTATTCCAACTATATAGGGTAATGTAGGATGAGGTGAAGAATTCTATTCTGGTGAATGTGGTGGGTAAAGAAGGGGAATTAAGGATTTTAATTATGAGGGAAAGAATAGACATGGGAAAGAGAAGAAATATCACACCTTTGGAAGAAAAGATGGAGAAAGGAGACACAGACACAAGTGTAAGAGCACATGTGCAAGCTAGCATTAAACCATTAACCATATATATATATGGAGCTGTAACTCTCCTCCTCTTCTCCTCCCTCTCTCTCTCACACACTCTTATTCTCTCATTTCTCTCTCTCTCTCTCTCTCTCTATATATATATATGGAGCTGTAACTCTCCTCCCCTTCTCCCTCTCACACCCTCTCTTATTCTCTCATTTCTGTTTGGTGATAGTTTGTTCTAGCCCTATTGCATTGGTTTTGGTATTAGAGCTAATGGTTAGTCACCATGTTCTCACAAAGTGACTGATTCTATGGGCCTAGGGTATCATTTAAACAATCTCATGGGCCTAGAATCAAGGATGATATGGCTTATGAACCATATGAAGGGTCTATGGTTGATTTACTTGAGAAATTGGTGGAAGAAAGTAGATCTAGTAATGTTGGCTGTAGGAGTAAGGTTTTCAAGAATGTTAGAAGAGAAAGGGAAGTGCCTAATTTCAATGGAGATGAAGACATGCAAGCATTCTTTAATTGGATTGCTTTAATAGAAGAATATTTCGATTGGCATGATATGTCTGAAAAACAAAGATTTAGATATGCACCCATGAAGCTTGTGGGTATTGCTAAAGTATGGTGGAGAACTCTTGAGCAACGACTAGAAAATAGAGGTGAATATCCTATTACCACATGGGCAAAGATGAAGAGGTATTTGTAAGAAAAGTACATTCCACAGTACTTCCATGATGATCTATATGTGGAGTTGACTAATCTCAAGCAAGGTATGCTATCTGTAGTTTAATATATGCATAAGTTTAATGAATTATATATTAGCTGTGACATTACAGAAAGTGAAAGGCACAAATCAGTTCATTTCATGAATGAACTAAGGGATTATATCAAGAATGAATTGTCTACAATTCAGATTTATAACTTACATCATGCCTTTGAATTGGCTCTCAAGATAGAGAAGAAGCAGCTGATTACAACAAAGAATTTGAAGCCAATGAGAAAAAAGTACAAAGTTGGAGATAAAGAAGATGATTTCTTGCATGTCGATGCCCATCCTAGAGATAAAGTTGTGAATGAAGAATTTCAATTTATAGAAGTTGTAAACATTGAAGATCAAAAGAATGTAGGCCAAGAGAAGATTAGAATGGTTGAAGAAGAAACTTCCAACACCCATGGTCAACTTGAGGTTAATGATCAAGAAGAGAGTAAGTGGGGCAAGATACAAATGTGTTGGTTGTAGTAGATGTTAGTAAGGAAGTAAGTCACAACCTTACCTTACAAGTTCAACTGGATCCAATTCAAGAATTACAAGTTGACATTGTACATGTTCCACCAACATCGATAATGGCAGAAGTTCAAGATTTTGCTGAAGAACCAAGGGGAGATGGACACATAGAGATGGAGATTTCTCAACTAGAGATTGAAGGAAAAGTTCCAAATGCTGCAGTTGAGATTTTGGATATGAAAGTTCATAGTGATTGGTGATGTAAGTGGTCAAGAAGCTAATGCTATTGATTATTTAACAACGAAGGTTATAGAAGGTAGTATTTCAGACATACATTACTTTCAAGATCCATTTATAGCTTTGTGTGTGACATCTACTCTACAGTCCAAGTATGTTGAAGTAGTTATGGGAATTACTACTCCTTTTGTCATTGAGGTACATCAACTTTTCATCCTCAAGTTATTCAAAACTCGAGGACAATTTTTTTTTGAATCAAGTGAGAATAATGCAGGAGCTGAAGAATCAAATATGGGATGTTCTTAATTTTTTGTATATTTGGACAGTATGGGTATTTTCGTCATTTTAACTAGTCCTGTGTGGGGCCTGGGCTATAACATCTTGTTCCTCTAGTTTAGTAGGGCTTGCCTTTCAAATTTCAGCTTATTTGCACTAGTAGATAGAAAGTTATTGTGTTTTTTGATGCACAAGACAAGGAATGACATTTATATAATTACGGTGAACAGTATTCAGGGCCACACGTGTCACTCTATAAATAGTTGTATTCTCTTCTTTTTGAAGCTAATGAATGAATGAAGATTTCTTTAGAGCAAGTTTGCTGTATGGAGTGATTCTAGGACCCCTTGGAGTGATTCCTTGGGTTTTCTCTCTCATTTCTCTTTCTCCACCCCCTCTCCCTCTCCCTCTCACACACTCTCTTACTCTCTCGTTTCTGTCTGGTGATAAGTTTGTTCTGGCCCTACTGCATCAGTTGGTGATTTCTTTGTTTAAGCTTCCTGTCTTCTAGTGTAGTTGTTTATTCTCTGTTTTCTTAGGTTGTTTGGTTTGAGTTTGTTGGTTTGGTGTTTGTTGTTCCTGTTTGTTCTCTTAATGAAATTCCTGCTTACCAAAAAAAAGTCATGTCTTCACTTCTAGTGGTTGAAAGAATGGTCATCAGAAAATGGGATTGAAGTAAACTAATCTGAATCCATCTTCTAGCCAGGAAGTTTTTAGAAAGCTGGACTTGGACTAAATTAGATCTAAGCAGTTGTCATGCAGCATGACAATAACTAATTATTTTGGTCTTCCTAAGTGGTGTGGGTACTAAACGGTGCCTGAGTGCTGGTTAGTTGACCATAAAAAGTACATACATTTTCTAAATTTAAGATAATGATGCAATATCATATATAATTCAATAAAAAACTATAAATATACAATAAACAAATAATATTTAGTTTAAAATCTTTCTTTTGCAAGCATACAAAAGAAGGCCAGATGGGTTACAATTTTGTTTTCCAAAGGTGGATAGCAACTTTAAATATCCGAGTTGGTCCCTTGTTTGTGGAAATTCCATAGCAGCACACTACTGATTGAAATATCTAAAAGAACATCTTCATCGTCCTTTTATCTTATGCCTTGCTTCTTTTATATACCATCACGCAACCATGTGCCCTCAGAAATGCTTAAAGTAACTAATGTGCATGTACATAATAGAAGGCATATATTATATTATAATTTTTTGAAGCAAATTATATTATATTATATTAAATAATTAAAGATAAAAACAAGCAAATAACATTTTAAAATAGCTTGTGGCCGATTAGGTCGACTAGGCTGGCTAGTTCTTAGTTGACCTAGTACCTAGTCAATCTAGCTAATGATTAGTCTCCCTAGACCAGCATCATGAATATACACCGAGTGGTTAGTTGACTAGTTAAAGACTAGTTTTTTTTGGGTAGCATGAAGGCATGGGGTAGTTGAAAACTGATGTTGATTACACTTTGTCTAAGTCATCTAACTCTTAATCCATCATGAAGGAAAAATATTATTTGGTACAAGTGCCATCTTTTTCAGTCCACAAGATTCTGCCTTCGTTGTCATGTGGATGTTTACTTGAAAGTCAACTGCATTATCTATATAGTAGCCAAAATCTGGTCATTTTTGTTGCTGCTTCAGAATGTAATCACGGAAAACTCTTTTTCAGGTATAACCCGAATAAGTATACTGGTAGGGATGAAGATGACAGTGACATGGAAGCTAATTTCGATGATATCCAAAGGGAAGAGAGGAAAAGGTAATGATTCTTTAGGCTCAGTTCGGAAGGACTGTACATATTTGTATTTATACTCTTTCCAAACTGAGCCTTATAATAGTTGGGACCCCCTCCCCCCTCCCCCTCTTTCGCCTATTAGGGCAGGGTCATCAAATGGTAGGTTTGGACCACCCCTCATCGCGTCATTATTAGCACTACATATATTGGTTCTCACTCTGGTTTTTTGCAGTGCAAAAATTGCAAGAGAGGAAGACGAAAGAGAGCTTCGCCTCATCGAAGAAGAAGAGAGAAGGGAAAGGTTAAGAAAACTAAAGAAGCGCAAGCTAAGACAATAATGACCGTTGAAACACATTTTTCTAATTTAGGATGTTCTTCTTCTGTTTATTTAGGAATTGTTTCTTGCTTAATTAGGTGGCTTATCTTCCTCTCCCCATTCTTCTTTTCCCAAATGTCGTCATTGATTTATGTAATTTTTGATTTGAGTTTTAAAGATGGTTTTTCTTATACTACACTTCCCTAATAATTTATTTATTTTTCTTTTCTTTTGGTTGGGGGGGATTGGATTCTATTTGCGTCAAAAACTGTCTGATTCGAATGGTTGGACTGTTGATCCATTTGACCCGATGACCGGGTTGTGGGATGTATAGTAACTGTGCATGTAAACTTAGAAGGCTATAACTTTGTATTCCAATGTCTGATTGAAGTGAATTTTGTTTTGGTTTTGGGTAACTTTTTAACATCTATATGTTCTAACGTGGGTTGTCCCATTATTTTTTTCAAAAAAACTTTTATTTTTGGCCTTAAATTGCAAATTTTAATATTTGTTTATAAATAAAAATTTAAAATTGAATTAAAAAATATAAATTAAATATAAGATATTTTATATAAAACATAATTATACATTTTTTATTGTTAAAATACATGTTTATATATACCTATACATTAATATTTTCATATGGCTGATCACTGATGTAGTATGGTTTAACCCGTTCGACCCAGTTACCCATGACCCGGAGGCAAAAGTGGTCGTCTCTAGTTCAGTTTTTAAAATTGCGATTCCGAGTCATTGGGCCTATAACGCTGAGTTTGGAGTATTGCTGAAGATTTGTTGTAGCTTAAGGTTGTGTTTGGTACCATTGCCATTTCTACTTGCAATGTTATGGTTGGTCAATACAATTTTTTGAGAAATTATCTTGTCATGTCGCATCACATAGATAACTACTTCCACTAAAAAATTATAAGTATTGGATTGGGGGCTGACATTTATAATAGAAACACCAAATTTGATGTTTCATCAAGAAACAATGATGGTACCAAATGCTGTATTGATAAGTCAAAGCATTTTTGATAGAAAAAATTATATTTTCATAAAATTTGTATTGACCGGACCTAAAACGTTGTAAGTAGAAGTGGCAATGGTATCAAACACAACCTAAGTTAATTAAAACAAGGGACAACAGTTATGAGATTACTGAAATTTATTCATCAAACAATCTATTATTTCCAACATGGTTTTCGAACTGTCATTGGTTCAGATGGTTGGACTATTTGGCATGGAAACCATCCAGTCAACTGGTTCTATTTCACCCATGAACCAAAATCTTGCCAAAAAATTGTTGACTCGGTCAGCAGTCTGCTGAATCGGGTGGTCAAACCATTAATCCATTTGACCCAGATAGCAGTTTTGGTTGTTTTTTATTTTATTTAAAATTTTATTAATTTTTAAATTAATGCAATGGATCATCCATTCAAATTGAACAGTTGAACCACCAACCCGAAAACCAATGGCCAAAGCGATTCCCATTCCAAGTCGCTTTTTATAACATTGTTTCGAATAAATAATTGGACAAGTGTAGACCTGGCAATTGGGTTGGGTGGGGTTCGGGTTGGGTCAAGGTACTTCGGGTTGATTTTGGGTCGGGTTGGGTTGTCAAATGCTAGACCCTGACCCTAAATGTTTGGGTTAGGGTTGACCCATGGGTCAATTCGGGTCATCCCAAAAAATAATTGAAATTAAAAAAAAAATTACATGAAAAATGTCAAAGTTAAAATAATTAACCTTAAAATTCTAAATATAAAATAAAAAACTTGAACATTTAACAATTTAAAGAGAACAATAAAAAGTAAAGACTAAATAGAAAAAATGTAAGAGTGGAAACTTCTAACAATGCATAAATAATCCCAATTAGACTTGACAATTAGGTCAGCGGGTTGACCCATGACCCAACCCAACCCAACCCAGTTTTTTTCGGATTGGGTCATTTTCACATTCGGGTAGCTAAAATATGAGACCCTAAACCCTGTTTTTTTGGGTTGGGTCGGGTCGGATTCGCGGATTGGGTCAACTTTTTGCCAGGTCTAGACAAGTGCTTTGGCATTCTCTTAAATGTTATAGGCAGGATATTCTAATTGATTCACGGGAAGAACAATGCTCTTATTATTAGGCAAACCCAGATTCCAACAGGGACCATGCCGGAAAGAAAATTTTTGCTTACTCAAAACAAGTCAAAGATGAACAATTTGTACTTTTCGTTTGGCAATTGGCAATAAAAATCTAATATTGCTCCTCATTACTCCATATATTGCACTACCATTTTGCTTATTGTCTCTTCATATCCATCCGCAGTGTAAAAAATTAGAGAATAAGAAGGGGAAGAGAATTTCATTTCATTGACGAATGCTGTCGTAGTGACTACAGAACAGAAGTAACATGAAAATTAAAGAAAATGAACGGAACCTCCATACTTTATTTATGAAATAGATACATATATAGATAAACACAAATCCATACAAGATGAAAGGGGCGACATTATTATTTAATGTATGTGGGGATAGATTATTAAAAGAAGAGAAGATGGTTAATTAAGGAGGGGCCCGCCGGGTAAGACTTAACAGATGATGAAGATGCTCCTCCATGAAAAGCGGGCACAGTTGGTAAGATTAGAGGACAAGGTGGTAGTAGAATTGGCCAAGCAATAAGGCAGGTCGTAGAGCAAGGCAGACTGACCGGTGTAAACAAATTCATAGGCGCCTCGGAGTCGAATACCGGAACACCCACATGTTTCATAACGCACTGCAAGGTTATTGCAACCCGGACCACTCCACACTGTAAGATAGCTCCCACTCACTGCATTAATGTTCGCCATTAACACTACAGCTATCGCTACCACGGCCACCATTAATGTCTTCTTGTTCTTGGAGGAGGAGGCCATGGAGATGAAGAAATATAATTATTTGGGGGCTGCGATAGGCTTAATTTGCTAGCTTCTCAAGTACTGTATGTGCTCCACTACTCCCACTCCATCCCACTCTTCTATTTATAATAAATAGAAGATATAATTTTAAGGCATCCAGGAATGAAGAATGCGTGTCCAAACTCCAAAACCATACATTCTGGTGACGAAACACGAAATAAGAGTGAAACAAGACTACGTTACTCTTTTAATAATAATGGAAAAGTCTAGTGACCCATGCACTTCGAAGCATTTTTTTGTGCTTCTACTTTCACTCTTTTTCACTTGAACACCGGCACAAGACAATACCCATAATCTTCTTCTTTCTTGATTAGCGGTGACCCATGCGATGCACGCATGGATGTTGTATTTCTACTTTTTTTTATGTACAAACAGTAGAATTTTTTTTTATCAGTTTGGATAGAGTATAAATACATACGAAATACAAGGTTTTGCATTCTACATATTTGTATTTATACTCCTTCCAAACTGAGCCTTTCCTTTTTAGTTATCGAGTTTCAAATTTTCCTTTATATATTATGAGATGCATATATATAAACCAATTGATGGTGGCTCAGTTGATACCTTATCTATATATTTACTTGTACCAAAGACCTGGATTGGGGTAATGGGCTACCTCCCATTGTGTAGATCTATAAAGCTAAAAATTGGATGAATGAAGATAACCAAAAACTCGCATTAAGTTCTTTCTTACTACATTTTATTATTGGACCAGAACAATCCATTAAACAAATCTATTACATTAAATTAAATTAATAAAAACAAAGGAAATAACCTGAACCTGAGCAAAGGCACAAAATAGAGGGAAAAACCTAGTAACCCAACCCATCTAATTTACACTCTACTTTGGCCTGGACGCTCCTTCGTAGTTCTCCCAAGGCCATGGCCCATGGGCTTGGACCCTACCCAATATGTCTCAGGTAGACCTGTTCATGGGCCGGGTAGCTCGACGGCCTGACCCGCACCCCGGCCGGGCTTGGTCATATAATTAGGCCCGCGGGCCTGACCTCGGGCTTAACACAGTAAGCCTGACTGTGTTTCGGGCCGGGCTCGGGANCCCGACTCAGTATTATATATTTTATAAAATATATAATATGTATTTTATATATTATATAAAATATATAAATAATATAATATTTATTAAAATATATATTTATAATTTAATATATATATATTTTATTATTTTCTTTATAATTTCAATCTATCTCTCTCTTTATTCAGTTGCTTCAACATTAATAATAATAATATAGGCTAAATTTCGGGCCCGGGCCCAGGCTCGGGCTACGGGCCCAAATTGTAGACCCGATGGTCGGGCCGGGCTCGGGCTCGGGCCTTAAAAAGATTTGTTAATACACAGTAAAAGCCTGGCTCGGCCCGGCCCATGAACAGGTCTAGTCTGGGGCAGGTTGGGCACAGACTAACTATGAAAAATTGTTTTTGAAGTTCTTCTAACTGGGAAGATTTGGAAATTTTGGTTGATTTTGATTCCGACTTCTACTTGAACCAAATAGAAACAATTAGAATCAAATTCCAATTCCGAAGTGATTCTGATTCCAATTCTGACCCTACTTGCAAATCAAACGGTCCCTTATTGTACTTTCATTATAAATTTATTTTCAATAATTATGTATTTTTGCTATAATTTTCAATAATGATTGGATATTAAATTATTGTTATTTATTAGAGATTAGACTATTAATTTATCCAAAACTCATTATTATTATTATTATTATTATTATTATTATCATCATATTATAAAAATTATTAAAGAGTATATAAAATATAAATAATTATTAATTATTTAAAAAGTTAAAATATTTAAAAATTGTCTTATGTGTTTCTATTGTTTCGCTTTCACTTAACAAAAATCATGCCCTGCTAGTTTCATTCTATTAGTGGGCTGAATTCTGTTTTATTTGGATGTTGCCTAGGGGTGATCATGGGCTGGGCCCGGGCCGGGCTTTGCCTTCATAACAACAGGCTTAGGCTAGGCCCTGGCCCGGCCTGGCCCACATTATGGGCCTAAAAATATAAGCCTGTGCTGGGCCAAGATTCTAGGCCAAATTATTGTATTTCAGTTGCAAAATTAAACAATTGTAATTTTTTTTTCACTTATTGTTGTGGAGACTATAGTAACTTATAAGAAACTTTAAATTTAATATCAAGATAAAATCTTCTAACATAAAAGAAATTAAATAATTATGCCTTGTAATTTATAAGTTTCAATTGGTCATTAGTATGCTAAAAATGATAATTTTAATAAACCAATTCTTCTATCAACAAAAAATCAACCTAGAACCTATAATGTCTATCAAAAATAACCATCCATTGTCATGTAATATCCACAAAACAACTTTAAACATCTCTATAAGGGACTCCATCTTCCATTCAAATCTTACAAATAAAAAGTGAAATAAAAAAGATATTAGCAAACTAAGAAAAAATAGCTCAAATTAATGTAAATAAATAAATAAT